GAACAGTGTTCCCGGCGGCGAGTATGGTGGTGTCGTCGTGCCGCCCGCAAATTTAAAGCATATGCGGGGTGCAAACGAAAATGAGCCCCGGGCCCTGTGGGGAGGGTCGTAAACCCTCCGTAGAGGGAAGTTGTGGAAAAGATGAAGCCACAAGGGGCGGTCAGGCGCAGCAGCAGCAGCAGCACAGCACACACACGCCCCATATGCGCCCGCATCTGCCGTGTGTGATGCAAGAGAGCTATTATTCGCCCGACACGCAGAGCGCTTCCGTCTTTCTCGTGTGCACTTTGTAAGCGAAATTCGGTTTCTCGGCTTATCGACGGCAGTAATGATATATCCGCTCAAGAGAGTGATTGGACGTTTTGTGCTGACAGCGCCAGTCGGAGCTCGGAGCGTGGCGCGCCGGCGCGCGGGGTAGCGCCAGCAGCCCGCCGGTCGGTCGGTACTCCGGGCCGCGGGCGTCCGCTCGCGAGCAAGGGGTAGCTCCGCGGCCTGACCCCGGCCAAAAGCACGGCGAAGCTTCACAAGTCCCACTACACAATGAATGGGAAGAGACAATGAGGTCCACGAAAAGACGCGATTTCGTTTCACAGCATGTGCTTGAAACGGATTAGTCACATTTTAAACCTGAGTATGCCAGCAATACCAGCTCGGACGTAAATTGACAAAAACAAAACATTGAGACGACTTTTCTCAAGCAAATGAGCATGACAAAGATTGTCGCTGTAGTGGATGGCCCAATGAGGTCGCACCACGACAGTTTCGTGAGCTTTCCTCTTCATTTGCCACGAGGTCCCCGCGTCGCCTTCCCGCTAGGCCTTGCGTCAGATGAGGCCTCTGACAGGTTTATCTTGACACCTTTATCACATGTTTTGCCACTCGTGCGCCCGTGTCCGACACTCGTCGGGCCCCAGATAAACCAGGAGAGGCACTCACTCCAGACCCCATTGAGCACGCACGACAAGGGGGCCCGCGCAAAGTCACATCTATCTCTACTCACCATCGCCAGAAAGAGCAGTGGGGAGGAGTCCACCTTCTTCTCGAATTTCGTCGAAACGAGCCATAAGGGCCGGTAACCTGAACAGAAGTGAAGTTAAGTTACTTTACTGCAGAAATACACACGAGAAAGGGCACTTTGGGCTTGGGGCTGTCCTTACTTGGAAGGTGGCACTTGGTGCTTCTTGGTCAGGTCCTGCCGCAACCTTTCGCCGACGTGCCGGTAAATATCAACCAGGGTGTTGAATGCTGCATCACGTACTGTTGACATTGGGTCACTAAGCGACTTTACAATGGAGGGAATAAGACGTGAAACTAAAAGGGATTGAATGCCGTGTCTGGAAAGGAAACAGAATGCACGAGTCAGAAAACATTGCATCATCTGTATCAATATTTTTCTTACAAGAGAGTGGACTTACTCATTTATTGTTGTCACTAACGTCGTCAGAACTTCCTCACGGATTCTACCATTTTTGTGTGAGAACGCAGGAGATAGCTTGTCAAATAATTGTTGAGTAGTGACTACATCTCTTTCCAAAATTTTCATTAAAAGAAGTTGAGCTTTGTTCCGCACCATATCCTTACTGTCCCCTGTAGAACAAAGAGAGAGGCCACCGGGATCAATTAAATTCAGTCTCAGGAACCTCACATAATAGAAAACAACATTGCATGTTTGGCCGCTATTTACAGTTCTCAGCCAGAGGAAAGAGCCCCATCCTC